GTCCTGGGGGGGTGGTGGTTAGGGGTGGGGGATCCCGGGAGGGGCGGTCAGGGGACAAGGAGCAGGGGGAGTTGGATGGGTCGGGAGTTCTGAGGGGGGCAGTCAGAGGGCTGGAAGTGGGAGGGGGCAGATAGGGGGCGGAGGCCAGGCTCTTTGGGGAGGCACAGCCTTCCCTACCCAGTCCTCATACAGTTTTGGAACCCCAATGTGGCCCTCAGGCCAAAAAGTTTGCCCACCCCTGAGCTAGAGGGAAGGTAGGAGAAGAGATGTGGGAGGGAGCTGGAGGTTACATAAGTGCAGAAGAGGTAGGGAGGGAGGGAAGAGCCAGACAGTAGTGGGATTGATCAGAGCAGAGGCAAATAGGGGCTAGAAGTAGAGGAGAGAGAGCTGGGCTAGGAGCTGGATAGTAGTGGGGGATGGGGACAGAGACGGGTTTGGGGCACAGAAGCAAAAGGGACTATAACCAATAGACAACACTCCACTCCAGAAATTGGAATTGAACCCTTTGTCTCCTCTGCTGTCAGCAAACAGCTATGAATCCTACTGCAATGTGCATGTTTCTTTTCCTTCTAGTGGCTTTTCCATGTAGAGAATAGTAGCCTACTATTGCTGTCACTTACTCTGTTAGAGATGTGTGGTGTTGTAGAGATGTGTGGTGTGGGTATAGAGGTCTGAATCCTGCTCTTGACCACCTTGAATCAGTATTGTTCCACATGAAATTCTGTTTGTTCAGTTTTGGGTTTTTTTGGTTTTTAAATTAGGAAAATATATCTAAAAACGGAACGTTCAGGTTACAAAGTCAGGCACTTAAAAGTTAGGAAATGCCAGAATTAATGTTGGCTGTGCGCCCTTAATTCATCCCCCTTCCGCATACGCAGGTGATGACACAGCCTTCAATTACACGATCATATGCTGCTTTATGCACTAGCTCGGGGGGATGAACCAGAGTTGTGTAGTGAAGGAGACTGTTGTCTGTAGGAGTCCCATTTGATTTGTTGCAGAAGTTGAAAGATGTGTATTGAATGAGGCAGGGAACTGCTGGAAGAGAAGGGTGGTCTCATGGTTAAAGGAGTTGATCTGCTCTCTGGAGGAGTTGGATTGATTTTGCTAGTGTTCCTATGTGAAGCTAGCCACTCATGATTGCAACTCAAGTTGATTGGAGCTGAGCTTTGAACATATAAAGTGCTAAATAGTGCTAAGTATTCCGAAAAAACAAGCCCTAATGATACGTCTACACTGCAAAAAAATCCCCGGCAGCAAGTCTCAGAGCCCTGGTCAGCTGACTCAGGCTTGCACAACGGGGCTAAAAATAGCAGTGCAGATGTTCTGCTGGGGCTGGCGCCTGGGCTCTGAGACCCACTCCAGCTTGAGCGGAAACAGCTACACTGCTATCTTTAGCCCTGTAGCACGAAATGTGTGAACCCAAGCTAATTGATCCAGGCTCTGAGACTCACTGCTGCGGGTTATTTTGTTCGTTTGTTGCAGTGTAGATGTACCCTCAGTGTCTCAAGTTGAGCATCCAAAGTTAGTGGATACTTTTGACCTTAACCTCTCTGGGCCTCAGTTCCCCAAGCGTAAAATGGGGTAATACCACCCCTCCCCCTCACACGGGTGTTGTGAAAATACATTCACTGATGTTTGTAAAGCACTTAGATGCTATAGTGAGAGGACCACAGAAATGCCCATGAGGAAATTAATAATTGTATAGTTAGGACATGGTTTGAATGGTGTGTATTAAAAAATGCCAGGGACCAAACACTGAATGAGGAGATGAAAAGAAATATTAAATAACTACCCAGTCACTGAATGAGGCAGGGCTTCTTTGCAAACTCCTCCCCCCCCCCCCCCGCAGTTCATGATTATGGAATTAAAAGCTGCAAGGGGGCTGAATGAAGGCTGCACAGGCATTTCCCAACTTTTGAGTGAGTTTGCAATCTTAATGTTGTTTGAATGTAGTGATGTTGGGTTTTTTGATGTAATATATGTACACACATACATGCACACTATAAGGAAGGAAAATATATTCTATCGAAAGCTGCTTGTATTATATATTGTAGTTATTTTATTGTATCTTTTCTCTACTATTGCAATAGGATGCTAAGGATGTAATCACACCTTTTACTCTCAGGCCCAAGAGCAGTGTGTTGTAATTACACTGACCTATAAGACTCAAGCCAGTAAGCTAAATGCTAAAGAAAAATATTAAAATCCTTTTCAGGCTCTAAAATAATTTAAACTTGCAATATCCAAAGAGTTTGGTTGGAGGTAGCCAAGTTTATTTAAAGCTATTTAAAGAATTTTAAAGGTAACCCTGATTGTGCACTTCTGTTTCCTAACTTATGCTTAAAGATTTGTGGTTATTTTGTATGTGTTTTATTATGTGGGTTATAAAGGTGAAAACGTTACTCTCTTGAAGTGAAGACTATTGATTACATCTGTGTGATACAGAGAGATTCAAACACTCTCTTCTACCCTCTGTAAACAGTTTCACAGTAATAGAGATTTTTATAATGTTATCTGAAAACAAAAAACAATGAAAAAGCATGAAGAGGCTTATGTAACAGGCTCAAAATACTTTTTAAACATTTCTTAAAAGCTGTTACTTGCATGTGATGTGCAGCATGCAGTGTACAGCAATATAAAGAATGCAAATTAGAAATGATGCTTTGATTTTTGAAGTGGTTTTACTTTTCATCTTTTCACGACGCTGCACATTGTGACATGCAATTATGTGCAATAGCAATGCTTGAGTTTGTTCTATAATATAGCGGAACCATTCCTCTGAACACTGAAGTTAATAGGAGTTTTACCATTGACTTCACTGTGAGCAGAATCAAACCCATTGCTGCTATTTTAGAAATTCTTGATAAATAAACATTTCCTGAAACTTGGAGATTCAACCAGTAATCATGGTGTCATAATAAAAAATGTTTTGTTTTGTCAGCTTTGGCCCAATGCTGGTGGCAGTATAATTTTGCATTGTTTAACAATGCCATGGCACAGCTGTGCTGCACAAATAGTAAAACAAATTTGTGCAGCAAAAATTTTTCTTTTTAAAAAAACTCAAAAGCTAATAAGGGTCTGGTTAGCCTAACCATATTGGTTGACTGACTGATTTCTAGTGAGTTTTACTTAAAGTTGCTAAAACTAGGAAGCACAGTTTAACAAAAATAAAAGAAAGGAAAGGGCTACACAATTTCCCTAAATTCTTTAGAATTTAATAGAGATTAAACCAATGGACTTCTATAGAAATGACTCTATAAACCTACTGATTGAATTTAATAAAGAATATCATAACCTCTCTAAGTTTTTTTTAAATCTGTAGCAGGGCTAAAGTTTCCTGTTAAATTCTATACAACAGCCTAAGAGACCTATACAGAAGTTAACATTGTCTATTAAGTTCTAAGGGATTTTTTCATAAGGGTTGAGACTGCTTTCTGCGATGATAAATATTCATGTATGTTATTGCAGTTGGTAAATATCTATTTATCTCCACCTCTATGTTAAATAATAGATAAATACATCCTGGACCCCTGGACAAAACCTAAGTGAACAGGCCATGCACAGAGAATCTCTCCAGGGGTAGTTCAGTACAGAATCCTCTCTCAAGGTAAGGAACACCTGTTAGCTGCTGTTTGTCTGCTATGTGGAGACTTGCATGAGTGGACTGAGTAGTTCTGAGGGCACAACTCTTACCCCTGCCAGTCCCAATACCCCATTTTGGTACTGTGCAGATTGCAGGGTGTAGAAGCCCCCCCCCATGCTGCATATGTGCAGCCGGTCCCCTCTGTGCTGCAGAATATTATCATGTTTCAGAGTAGCAGCCGTGTTAGTCTGTATCCGCAGAAAGAACAGGAGTACTTGTGGCACCTTAGAGACTAACAAATTTGTTAAATATTATCATGGTAGTTCTGCTACATTTAGGGCTGCAGTGAGGTGGGTGAGAAGACAGGAGCTGGCCCAGTGGAAAAAAAAAGAGACGCAGAGAGTGGAAACATCCAGCCTGAGGGCTTTGATTTGATATGACATTTATCTCCTCAAGTGAAGTTATCAGGTGTCTTTTTCATGAATGAAGATAAATGTTATAGGCTTAAGCCCTCATGTAAATAGGCATTGAGCAGCTTTGGGCTGCCTCCTCAGTGCGTTTACTCTAGGAGATCAGGAGGGAGTTTCATTGTGCAGTGTGGAATGTGAAACGGCAGAATCCTTTTGACTTTTAAATGATTTCAGCTACTAAGATATTTGTTTTTGACAGTAAGACAGTAAGTTCTACACAGAATAAAATGTAATCTTGTGTGTCTTTTTATACATGCATACAAATATAAATACATGTTTTTATGACGTGAAATATTAGCTGAAAGGATGTAGACCCTTTCCTTTCTTTCCCTGATATTGCTTGGCATTGAAGGCAGGCAGTTCCAGTACATCACAGGCAGGGCCGGCTCCAGGCACCAGCCCACCATGCTTGTGCTTGGGGCAGCACCTGGAGGGGGGCGGCGCGGCGCTCCGGCCCCCGGGGAGAGCGGGGCCACGGCAGGGCTCGCCGCCCTCCCCCGGGGGGGGGGAGCAGCCGGCAGCTTTTTTGCCTGGGGCGGCAAAAAAGCCAGAGCCGGCCCTGATCACAGGATAGGGCCCAGACGTCTTGGAGTTCTTCCACCTGCTGAAGGAAGAAAGGAAATCTTTAAAAAGTATAAATATAATAAAATCTCTAGGGATTTTTTACTTTAGCTTTTGTGTTGTAAACAGGATTAAATTCTTGTTCTTACATTTGTAATTAAACTGAAGTTATTTAGAATATAAGAACAGCCATACTGGGTCAGACCAAAGGTCCATTTAGTCCAGCATCCTGTCTTCTGACAGTGGCCAATGCCAGGTGCTTCAGAGGGAATGAACAGAACAGGTAATCATCAAGTGATCCAACCCCTGTCGCCCATTCCCTGCTTCTGGCAAACAGAGGCTATGGACAGGGCCGGCTCTGGCTTTCTGGTCGCCCCAAGCGAGAAAAAAAAAAAACGCAGCGGCCAGAACAGCAAAGCAAAACAAACAAACAAAAACCTGTGGCGCGGCCGGAGCCAGGGTGCAGGGGGACTCCCTGCCCTGCAGATGTGCCCCGGCTAGCGGGGGGAGTGGGAGGGAGCGGGGGGAGAGAGACAAGGGGGGCAGCCATGCGGCCCCTCCCGCCATGCCCCCTGCCGGGAGGGCTCCACACCACTCCGCTCTGGGAGGGAAGGACGCAGGCTGCCCTGCCGGACTTCCGGCAGGGCGCTCCTGTTCTCCACGCCGCTGCCCCCTACAGGACGGTTGGAGCGGAACAACAACAACAACAAAAAGCAGCCGTGCCGCCCTAGGATTGGGCGGAATGCCGCCTCCTACAAGCTGCTGCCCCAAGCACCAGCTTGCTCAGCTGGTGCCTGGAGCCGGCCCTGGCTATGGACACCATCCCTGTCCAGTTCAGAAGAAGGGTCAGGCCGCAGGTAGGAAGACAAGCCTGTTCTCCAGTGGTGGAAAACAAGGATAGCTCTCACCTTCCCTATAAGAGGTCTGTCAGTCTATCTGTTATGTTCTTTTACAGACCCTGTCTGTCTAGCCTTGGTTGAGTTTTTTTGGCCCCTTGATTAATCAGCATATTATCTAAACATAGTGTCTGGTAAATGAGCAAGAGATCATAGGGAGAACTATTCTTTGTGGGAGACTTGTACCACATTATGTGGGGACTACTTGTTTGATATTGGTATTTCCAACTGGGGGTGAAGGGAAGCTGCACTTGTTGAAGGATTCTGCAACATTAGGCAGTGAATGAAGATGAGCTTGAGGATTATCAGAAACCTGAAGATGCTGGTTGCTGTAATTCATTGGGAATCATGTTCCTGCAGCAACTGAACAGGTAGGCAAAGTGGTGCAGAAGAAGGGGTCTCTGACAAGATAGAGAGTGATATATATGCCTGCTGTTCCAATGTGCAACCCAAAATATAATGTAAATGGCTAGAACAGAGTCACGTGATGATGTTCAAACATCTGTAAGCCAGTCATTAGTTTCTAGCACTAGAAAACTTGACCAGTTATAATGGCAGTGGAGCTGAACTATTTTTAGTTACATGTCAAATCTCCCTTGGTCAATGAAAAGATGCATGGTCATGAAGTAATGTAATAAATCACATAATACCTAGAGCTGCGCAGAGAAAGGTATTTCCGTTTCATGGAGGATTTTGATATTTTGAAATTTTGGCTTTGTTTCAATTCAGAGCAAAATCCCAGAATTTCAAAATGCTCTGCAACAAGGGAATGGAGCCACAGAACCCAGAGAGGTCTGCTTGGCGAATACACCAGAGCTGTGGACCCTGGAAGCCGGGACTCCCCAGTGAGTGAGGTGAGCTAGTAGGAAACCAGGCAGAAACCCTCCATCAGAACCATCTTGGCAAACTATTTTGATTTTAGATGAATTGGCAAATTCTCACAAAAATGTTTCACTGGAATTTTTCTGACTGTCTCTGAAAATACTTTTGGTATTCCCAACTATTTAAATTGAGGCATTGTTCCTACTACCACCAGAAAAAAAGAGCTTCCCTTCTCAGTGAGCAACATTACTGCACTTGTCATTATATTCTGATGTGTATATGAGAGTGTAGAAAGGGAGGTATATAGTCACATAAGAAAAACGCTGTGTGAATATGCAGTGTGTTGCAAGATTCCATTTATTTTTCTTTTCTAGCTCCAGGAATGGGGAGACCTGTCTAAAGAGGATCCTACTTGAAAATTTGTATTCTCCAAGCTCATTCTCATAAAGACTTTGGTTTTACAGCTGCATCCGTTTCAGAATGGCAGAGAAGGCTCCACCAGCGATGAACAGGAAGTCTTCAAGGTCTACCCTTTCCCTCCCACCAGAACCAGTGGAGATCATTAGGAGCAAAACTTGCTCAAGGAGAGTTAAAATAAATGTAGGTGGGCTCAATCATGAAGTTCTATGGAGGACTTTGGACAGACTCCCAAGGACTCGATTAGGAAAGCTCAGAGACTGCAATACCCATGATTCTCTGCTGGAAGTGTGTGATGACTATAACCTGAATGAGAATGAATATTTCTTTGATCGACACCCAGGCGCTTTCACCTCCATTTTGAATTTCTACAGGACAGGGAAGCTACACATGATGGAAGAAATGTGTGCTCTCTCTTTTGGCCAAGAGCTTGATTTCTGGGGGATTGATGAAATATATTTAGAATCTTGCTGCCAGGCAAGGTATCATCAGAAGAAAGAACAAATGAATGAGGAATTGAGGAGAGAGGCAGAGACAATGCGTGAGAGAGAAGGGGAAGAGTTTGATAATACTTGTTGCCCAGAGAAAAGGAAGAAACTCTGGGACTTGCTAGAGAAACCCAACTCATCCGTGGCTGCAAAGGTAGGGTAAATGACATGCTTAATACAAAAGCACTAGAAAATTAAAAGTACATGACCTGTTTATCTGAAATGCATCAATGACTTTCACTCAAAATGTTTAATATAGAGAAAAACAAGGGTACATGTGATCATATGAATACACCTGATTAAATGTCTTCTCCAAAGCCCATTGCAATCAATGGAAAACCTCCCATTGACTTCAGTAAGCTTTGAATCAGGCTGAAACACTATAAATATAAACTATAAACCTTCAGAGTTGTTGTATATAAACACAAACACGCACACGTAATGGTATACTGCATGTATGTCTAATCTTTGCCGAGTATAAGTATGAAACACTAGTAGCTTCCTTGCTTATAAAATCATTTTATTTGATTATAAAGAAATGTTTTCTACAACTTCCGAGTGTTCATACTGTTTCCATTAGGGGCATTGTATAGGTTTAAAATGGCTGTCTCTCAATTCATTAATTAAGGACATCTAATAAGTGGCATCAGCTTGACCGTCAGGAGAGTGGTACCAGCAGCCAGAGGGTTGCTTTGTATCTGGCAAATATCACAGCGATATTATCTCTGATAAAAAAAACCTTTGAAACCCAGAATGAGTTCTGTATGAATATATAGAATATGCAGAGATAAGGAATCAGATTGTTTCATTAGACTATGTCCCAATCCTCCTGGCTTTATCCAGGCAAAGTAGGCAAATGTACTCCTGATATCAAGGGGAAGTTTACCTTTGTTAAGAAGGCAGGATTGGACTGGAAGGGCCAGATTCTGGTACTGTTACTTACAATAGAAAGCACTTGAGGAGTCCCATTGACTTCAGTGGGACTATTCATGGCATAAGGTACTACTCAATATGAGCAAGACCATCAAAATCTGGCCCTAAATTAATAGCACTTAAACTATACACAAAGGCTTAGTATACACGTATTGCTTAACTCTGGCTATGCTTTGCCCTCTCACTTGTGGGGTACTAGGTGTCAGTCCTATATTAATAACTTTAAAATATGAAAGTTTATGCAAATTTAAAGCATGGCAACATTTCCATGAATTGGTTAATAATCATTTCGTAATAGTTAGACTTTTTAAAAAGCATATTATTTCTTGTTTTAATTTTTCACCATGGGCTGTATAATTGGATTGAGACTGGACAAAATGTTCTTTAAAGAGTCAAGGCCTGGTGTATAAAGATTTGTAACTAGAGTAAACAGCTGACAGTGAAAAACGAGGGTGTTCTAAAGAATGTTTTAGAAAATACATGCAAATGGGTTTTCTACTTCTGAGAGTAGAGTATTCTGGGCCATATGTTCCTCTCCATTAGGAGGAGCAGAGGGAAGCAGATGGGCATAAGCTGTACCAAAAATGTCTTGAGGAAGCCATGTTACACAGTGGCATGGTATAGCGGTCATCAGGCTTCCTGCTGCACTTCTGTGATATAGCTGCTATGCAGCCTGCTGGACAGGGCTGAGTCAGTCCCTCAATGCTGCATATTTTCTTTGCAGTGCGGTTAAGTAAGCATGACCTCCCCCTAAACACCAGAAATATGAGTGCTCTTGTAGAGGGGAGAGAGAATGGCAGCACAGCAACAGAGCCAGCATTGCTGCCCGTGGTAGGGAGTGAGAGAGAGAGCCAAAGCGCCATAGAACCATATTAGATACGCACATGATGATGGAGGCTGTTGGGTTTGAACTCAGAGATCATTGGCTTACCTGTAGCTCCCTGGCCATGCCTGCTGCCAGAATAATTTTATACTGCTACCTTATGCTTCCCAACAGCTGGACAGTTTTGAGAGGGGATGTTTTCTTGTAGGTTCTGCTCTGTGTTTTCTCATGTCAGAGAGGCGGCTATGGCCCATAATACTTAATATCCATGAGTCATGCTTCTGCCAGAATATACTGTAAACTAGAAAGCAAGACAAAAATGCTGAGCAGATATGGCAAAAGTGAAACCCCAGGTCCTTTCTTCAGTCTATTAGAATGTGTTTTGTTTGGTTTTGCTCTTGATCGTTCTTTTACTTGGTGGTTAATTGTGTGTACATAGAGGGCGTGGGATTTTCATCAATACTCAACATTAGTCTAATTCTGCTCCCATTGAATTCAATAGCAAAACCCTCATTGACCTACATGAGTGGGAACAGCATTAGGCAAACGCTGAGCACTTCTGAAAACCCTGAACAAAGTGTTTATTGACAGCATACTTTACCACTGGTTTGGCCTATTTTGAAGGGCCTGGCAATATATTTGATTTAGGTAAAAAGTGGTACCCACAGTATTAATACCCTGTACAGGCAAGTTTTGGAAATCAAGGTGATTTATTGTTTTTACCTAGTAGGGCTCATATTTGTTTATTTTGCACCTCTTGATTTCCCCCCTCATCTGGCTGAACATGACTCACAGAACATATAGTTTTATTCTATTTGGTTGCAATGAAATGCATAATGTGCTTGTGTGTATGCTGCTATGTGAAGCCTATTTGCCTAATTTAAATTGCCTTCTATATGACTTATTGCCCATTTTGTGTAATTCTTGGTTGGTAACTTGAACTAAAGCATATTATACAGTTAGAGTTGTCTTTCAGTTGTCCTCAGCTAGTGAATACATTATATGTAAATATTCAGTGGGTCAAAATCTGGTCAATTACTCCCATGGAAGTTGTGGTTGAATAATGTAAATGAGAGCAGAAATTGTCCCAATGGGCCTAGGCCAGGGGTTCCAAACTTGGTTCGTGGCTTGTTCAGGGTAAGCCTCTGGCGGGCCGCGAGATGCTTTATTTACCTGAGCGTCTGCAGGTACGGTGCGGGCTGGGCCACTGCTTCCTGCAGCTCCCATTGGCCAGGAACAGCGAACCGCAGCCACTGGGAGCTGCGAGCGGTTGTACCTGTGGACGTTCAGATAAACAAAGCGTCTCGTGGCCTGCCAGGGGCTTACCCTGAACAAGCCGCGAACCAAGTTTGGGAACCCCTGGCCTAGTCTAATGGAGAAGGTTCAGAGAAGAGCCACGAGAATGATGGCTTATAGCAGAGGTTCTCAAACTGGGGGTCAGGACCCCTCAGGGTGTTGCGAGGTTCTTACATGGAGGGGCCGTGAGCTGTCAGCCTCCATCCCAAACCCCACTTTGACTCCAGCATTTATAATTGTGTTAAATATATTAAAAAGTGTTTTTAATTTATAAGGGGAGGGGTTTCGCACTCAGAAGCTTGCTATGTGAAAGGGGTCACCAGTACAATAGTTTGAGAACCACTGGCTTATAGTAATAGACTCAAGGAGCTCAATTTATTTGGCTTAACAAAGAGAAGGTTAATGCGTGTCTTGGTTAGATTCCATAAATAGCTACATATTTGATCATGGGCTCTTCAGTCTAACAGAGAAAGGTATAACACGATCCAGTGGCTGGAAGTTGAAGCTAGACAAATTCAGACTGAAAATAAGGCATACATTTTTAACAGTGAGGGTAATTAACTATTGGAATGATTTACCAAGGGTTGTGGTGGATTCTCCATTACTGACAGTTTTTAAATCAAGATTATCCTATGGAGGTTGGGGAATCTCCATCTTTAAAGGTTTTTAAGAACAGGTTAGACAAACACCTGGTCTAGATAATACTTAGTCCTCACAGCAGGGGACTGGATTAGATGATTTATTGAGATCCCTTCCAGTCCTACATTTCTATGATTCATTTCTATGACTGCATGTTTTTCTAAAAGATCTGCTCTAGGAATTATTTGGGGGAGTTGTCTCACCTGTGTTATAGAGGAGGTCAGACAAGATGATCAAAATGGTCCCTTCTGGCCTTGGAATCTATGAAACATTAGAAAATGAAGAACTAGCCTCATATAAACCAAGATATACTGAAATTGGTATACATTATGTGCTTTAATACAATATGCTGTTGATTGGATAGCATATTAGGATATATGGCATGATCCTCATCTAAGGTAAAAAATTCAAATTTCAGCACTTTGTTTTAATGGGCAGCAGGTTTAAAACAAATAAAAGGAAGTTCTTCTGCACAAGGAGGTTGTGAAGGATAGGACTATAACAGGGTTTAAAAGAGAACTAGATAAATTCATGGAGGTTAAGTCCATTAATAGCTATTAGCCAGGATGGGTAAGGAATGGTGTCCCTAGCCTCTGTTTGTCAGAGGGTGGAGATGGATGGCAGGAGAGAGATCACTTGATCATTACTTGTTAGGGTCACTCCCTCTGGGGCACCTGGAATTGGCCACTGTTGGTAGACTGGATACTGGGCTGGATGGACCTTTGGTCTGACCCATTATGGCCGTTCTTATGTTCTTACGTTTAAAGTGTAATTACATATTCACGCAGCAAATTATTAATTTATCCTGAAACAAGGGGCAAGAAGCTGTACTGGATAAACTCATTCCCTCTGTAGAAGGAAAATAGAAAAATTATTGTCTTTGTTGATCCAGTATCACTGCAACAGCATGTTGCATCGCTATCTAGTTATATGTTTAGGATCCAAGCCCCCAGACTGGACATGTCATTGAGATGACTTGCTGAATTCCCAGGGAAAAGGGGCTAGTTCAGCCATGCCTAGGACATTGTCTGCCAGCCAGTCAGAACAGCATTGGTGTCAGCTTGGCAAAGGACAGCTTGTCTGTCTTCTTGTTCAGAGATGAAGTTTCTCTTTGTAAGGGAAACAATTAAGGGATTTTTAGAATGGAAAATCAAGAACAACATATGGAAATATCATTCAGCATAAACCTAAAACATATTGTTACTTTGCTATCTTTCAAAGAAATATGAAAAAGAATATCATATTCATTTAATCTACCAATATCTGCATCCTCATTCAGATACTTCATTGCACCTTAGCAGTTGACATGAACAGATTGTTGTTGAATCTATTTCTTACACAGTGTGGGATAAACACTGAGGACTCAGTTTGGCTTTTTGGGTGTTTTTTGCCAGTTATCAAACATAATAAAATCCCTATGGGTTTGATCCAAAGCCTATTGAAATTAAAGGGAGTCTTTACAT